TTGCTGGAGTTATAAGCCACCTTGAGTCCCTTCATGTGAGAAAAGCACAGTAAAAATGACGTAAATAAATAAATAAGAACCTCAGGAAGACTCTGAAAACTTTATGGAATGTGCCTCTTATATAGACACAGAATGACTAAAATACAATGCCTACAATCCCTAAACCAAAAGAATATCAAGTCAGTAGTACAGAAGAATATCAAGGTAAGGTTGTCAAAACATCAAAAGAAGTCAAGGCAGGTGGGCAGGCTTGGTTCTATGCCTATCTCCCCAAATCATATAAAATTGTGAATCTCCCTTAAAAAGCTGGTCTTAATGATCACATAGGAATAAATGGAAAGGGGAGTATGTAGAAAGGGCAGACTTCTGGCAAATCAGATCATAGGAGAACACCAAGGCAGTTTCATTCTGTTATGGAAGACACTGTGCCTTATACATGGATGTAAAAGGAACTATATTTCTTAGCTTTGGTAAGTCATAAACGGGAAGTATAAGATACAGCGTTGTACAGCCTGCTTTTTTAGTCTAGCCATACAAATTTTCTTGATATTTTTGATATTAGTTTGTTGAAGAGATAAACAATTCCAATCTGCTGATTTTCAATAAGTGCAGCCTACATCTGCTGAGATGAACAGATAGATTAAAAAGAATATTGATGCTGAGTAATTTATAGAGAGTGATATGTCCTTCTTTAATAGGCTTAAGTGTTCTGTCTTTATACTGAAACTCTTAAAGACTGCTTCCAAAGAAATAATACCTTACTGCACAAGGATTGAGTATTTAGTCAGATCAATTAAAAAAAACTTTTTGAGTTTTCTCACAAGCTGTTAAAGCTATTATTTTGTACTAGGTGACACCCCGTTTAACATAGACCATATTGTTAATAGTTATGGGATTTTATTGAATTAATGAGACTGTTATCATGTTGTAGAATGTCTTGCTGAGTTAATTGAAACTGCAGAGATTATATAAATGGTATTAATGAACTTTGACTGCCTAGTGCCACTGCTTTAATAAAGACTGCTTGGTGGGCTAAATGAACATCGGCAGATAAAAGAACAGGTTCAATTTTGTGAGCCTACAGGCTGTTAACAAAGAAAACTTTTTCACCTCTGTTTTTGAATAGTGTCAATTTCCCACATTGCAATAATTTTAGAAGATAGTTAATCCAGGGCTAAAAGGGCTAAAGAGCATGCTAGATATGACCACGTATATGTGCAATAACTAAAATATGTTAACTACAATAGTAAAGATTTAGGTACTAGTGCTGAATTGCCTGAAGAGTGAAGCAACTTTAATTCATTTTGTCTCCACTCCCCATTTTGTCTCCATTGCCCTTGTTTATCTTATCCTATTCCTTGATGTTTTGGCCTTCTTTGTTCATTGCTTCCACTGCTTGAAAGGTTCTCATACGTTTAATGTTTATAATAGTAGGTCAAAAAAATATCTTTATTTTCATGTTCTTCTGATGTCTTGGGCTTTGGCTTGTTGATTGTTGGATTGCATGCTGTCATCTGCCACCTTTTTAAAAAAGCTCCTCAACTGTAGAGAAAGATTCCCCAATAAAGACAGACACTCACATTGCCTCCTTTGCTTCGATGAAGTCAAAGTCATAGAAGCATAGAGCTGGAAGAGACCACATGAACCACTAAATCCTAAGTGATTTCAAAGTTTATGTTCTGGATGTGACTAAGTGGCTACAACACAATATTATAATCAACAAAAGCATTCTTTATATTGTGATCAAAAATATATTGTTATACTATGTACGCATATCACTATAGTATGGTTCTCGGTTTGAACTGACAGTTAATATGAGCAAACCACTTTAAGTCATAAAACTGGGTTAAATATATGTCTGAATGTTATAAATTTACAACTTTTTAAATAAGTTTTTTTATATAACTGTGGTTTATAGTGGTCATTGTATTCTAAGAAACTATCCTGTATTTCATTTCATGAGACATTGATAAAAGCTTTGTATTGTTGCAATTTTTAACATAGTTCATTTTTCAAATCCAAACAGTATGTTATTTTGAATTTATGATGTGCAATTGATGGATTATTGTGGCAGTAATTTTACTAAATTCAGATCCTATCTAACTCCGTCTCTAACCATTACATCTTCTCATTGATTTCTTAGCCTTTTACCAGACAGTATACACACACACATACATACACACACACACACATACATATATATACATATATATATTCTATTCACATATCCTGGATTATATTTCTTTCACTTCAGAATTACTCCATATCAGACTTTCATTTTATCCTAATATCCAAAAGACCTCATAATATGTTATGTAGTCAAATAGAATGAAAAGACAAGTATTTCATTGTAGCAAATACTGGTCTTGAAATTTGCTTTCTCTGAAACATTTGCTGGTAGTACAGCTAGTGAAGTACTTTGCCTCTGGTTAAAAGCCAACTATCTTACAACTGCACATTAAGGGAAATGCTAATCTTTGCAAGCTGAAACAATGAATGATATAGCCATAGTTAAATATTGAAATGACACAAGTGTTGTCTATGTGTTCCAATCATGATAGCAGTAGGATATCTCTAGTTCTGTTTAGGTATCAAATTTCTGTATTTATAAATAAATAAATAAATAAATACTTACATACTTGAGTATAAGCTTAGTTTTTCAGCCCTTTTTTGATGCAGCCCGTGCCTTCCTCTCCTCCTCTCTCAGTGCAACACACGTCTTTCTCTCCTCCTCTCTTGGCGCCAGTCTTTTTCACTTCTCTTTGTTCATATACACATCATTTCCCCCAAAATGTATAGTTAAGATAAACTGTGGTGATTATTGGAAGGATACATAAGCACATTTACATTGAAGAAGGTTAGAATAATGATTTAATCAGAGTTGGACAGTCTCATCTTAAATTAAAGTTTTATGTAAATATTCCAAACCATTTAACCTACTGATGCCTCAATTAATGTAATTTTATTGATATCTATTTTTATTTTGAAATTTGCCAGTAGCTGCTGCATTTCCCACCCTCATCTTATACTGGAGTCTATAAGCTTTTCCAGTGTTGTGTTCTTCGGCTTATACTCAAGTATATACGATACTTACAAAAAACTAACAAATATGAAATAAATATGACAAACTATACCAAGGAGATAAATATTCTGAAATAAATTTAACAAATGAAATAAATACAACATAATTTAAAATAGAATATGTGCACTTCTGAAGATGAAGAAATAAGCAATTTATTTCAAAAGATCAGTGTGGCAAAGTAACAATCAAAGTATTTGAGTGAATAGAACTAATTAGGGTAAGATCTTCTGGTGTACCTGATTGTATTGGAACTAACCAGCAGTGAATGGTGCTCTATCAGTTTCTGCAGAGTCAAAATTTGTTTTTTTAATGACACTGGGATTCTCAAAGGGATTGTAGGAGCTTGATTCCCAAATAGTTATTGATTTTCCTTTGGAAGTCTTATCCGGTATGCTCTGTTTATCTGTTTGTAAGCAGGATTTCCAATATGACCTCCAGGCATCGTTTTATAACTGAGCCTGCAAGTTACTGGCCTGAGCTAAATTTAAGGAAGAGTTGAACTTCTGCTCTGAACTCAGAAAAGGTCATTTAATATTGCAAACCAAAGGCAGTATTTAAAGAGAACCAGTGATAATTTAGTATGGCAAGGAATAGAAGGATTTAGTTTTTGGTGTTTTCTCTAATGCTGAAGATGAATAGTACTCTTTTTTATCCACTTATTTATCTTTTAGCTTGCACAACTCATATCTCTGAGTGGTATATCTTTAGAGAATAACTTAAAATATCAAAAATAACATTGTGATAAAGTTTGATATTAAAATAGCACAAAATAAAATCAGCACCAAGCATGAAACCGATAATAAAACCCCAAAGTAAAATAAGCAAAATAGAACAACCACTGGAAATGATTTTAGAATACCTTGGAGAATAACTTAAGTATTTGGATGCACTGAAAAACAATAATCCAGGCACAAGCATATTTCTCTAGAAAGGACATTCCACAGATGGATGGCACCAGTGAAAAGGCCCTCTCTCTTGTAACTGCTCCCCTGCCAGCCTTATTTGAGCACCTGGAGAAGGAGCACCTCAGGTGAAAACCTAAGAGTGCATATGGGAGAAAACAATTTTTCAGATTTACTTGTGACTTTAAATTTTGAAATCATCATCCTGATTTCATATTTAATGACATATCCATACATTTAAAGACTAAACGAGGTTTCTATACCTGAAAGACAGACCACATTATGCCTTGAAATAACCCAAACATCAGGTAACATGAATGTGAGTAACTTTTGCTATCTCTGTCCAAGGAAGGTAATAATCAATATATTGGCCTAAGATGATAAAACATGCTCTAATCTACCAAAGATCAAGAGAAATCCCAAATATGGTTTTGTGATGCAGCTTGTAGTCCTCCAGATGTTAATTTGATTTCACACCCCGTCAGCCTTAATCAAATATAATGTCTTTGCTTATTTTGTTATTTTTTGGGCTGCATACAATTACGTATTTTAATACATTTTTTTCTTTTGTGAAACAACATGATAAACCCAAAAACACATATATTTACATGGCTTGAAAAAAAGGAATAGTATGCTAGTGTCTGCAGAGTAAACCTCTTTGTAAATCATTTTTTTCAAGCCATGTAAATCGTTGTTTTGTTTGATCAACTTGCACAAAATGAGTAATTTTCTTTTGATTTTCAATTTTTTTTTGCAAGATATGTCATAGCGACATTTAAAAAAAATAAGATGTTTCTTTGTTTATATTTTAATATATCTGTTGAGTGGTGAATTTTGATTATTGATAACTTTCTATTGAAAAATTAAGTGATTTTCCATCTGTACTTTAGAGAAGAATAAATACTCAGAGTTACTGGAACTCTGCTACAGTGCCTTTTACTAGCTCATTGGGTACATGGAAAAATGAAAAATTCTTGCCACGTGAAGTAACTTTCTGACTTTTGTTTTAATTGTAGGGCATGCATGAACTTTTAGCACCCATTGTCTTTATTCTACATTGCGATCATCAAGCGTTTTTACATGCAAGTGAAGCTGCACAACCAAGGTAGGTGTCTTATATTTTTTTAAACTGTGCTTCAAGTAACAGTACATGTAATTTATGATATCTAAAAAATGTAAACGGCATGATATTTGTGAGGATAATATGAAAAGATACCAGTGCTATTACTGGCAAGATAGTTGTCAAGATTGTGAAGCTTTTCTGCCCCCACACTTGGGTATGTTAGTAAAGGCTTTCCCCTGAAATCTGTTTATAAAGACAGTGAGAAAAATTGACTTGTGTTTCCAACATTCCAAATGCAACTGGACGTTTCAAATCTGGGATTAGTATATCTGCTGTTCATCTGCCCATTATTCAATTATAATTTTATTTTAAAACGTTTCGGGTAATAGTATCAACAAAGATAATTCTTGATTTAAAGATGAATTAATACATTTTATTCCAATAGACAGATTCTTTTCAATTGTACTTAAGTTCATTTACCAAAATAAGCTCAACACATTTTATACTTGTCCTGTTGTATTTCCTAAGGCATCAGTACCATCATTTCTCTTTGCAATTCTGAACAAGCTGGATAGGTGGGTAAGGGAGTGGAAAAATGAATGGGCAGATGAGTAGACAGATAGATCAAGCATACCATTAAAATTGTGAAATGGTGTATGATTACCTTTTATCCAGCTGGTTTGGCATAGCCTGCATATTCTGTGGCTTCTGTCAACAACACAGGAGCTTGTTATTTGAGAATAGAACAAGTGAATACAGACAGATATTCTCTGTTATCATCCTAGTCTATATTGAGAATTATTGCTGACTTCCTCACTGTGAGGGGGAAGCATAGGATAAAAATATGCTGCTGCATGAAATGATGGCTGTATTTGGCCCCAATTAGTAAATAATATTTGAGGTCCAGACAATTCCATCTGTAAGTTGCATATATTTCAGAATGTGAGCAGGGCCAGAGATTCCATTCCATGGTTGCCTCGTTTCAGTTTCAGAAGGGACCCCAAGACCTGCTTTTCAGAAAACAAAGGGAGCAGGATAGAAAATCATCAGGCTACATGGGTCTGCCTGTATATATGTTTGGATCCTGGCCAATCTATGCAAGATGCATTAAGAAGTGTCAGATTTTTCCAAGTAATCATGTTTTGTGCAAGTACCCGTCCTTCGTCCTCACTAGAGTAATAACCAGAGAAGAAAATGATTAATTACTGCTAAAATGTGGTAAAAATAGATTCTATTAAAATAAATCACTGTTTTGCGATTGTGTATTTGACCACTAACCATATTTATTGTTTTCAACAAACAGTGATAGATTGTGGAGTGATCAATTATTGTGGATCAAGCATATTCAAATAATGCATTGTGGCATTCAGTAATTTGTTATTTGGAATAATTAGATGGTTACTTCATTGTAGTGCAGACAAGGCAGCTAATTTGTTTTTGATATTTTGAGAGAGTAAGGACTTCATTTCCCTTCAGTGGAGTTACTCTTTTTAATTACAAAAGTTAGTTTTACTTACTTGTAGCTCTTGTATAGTTAACTAAGAAAATTAGCACATGTTTTCTAAAGTGTTGCTTTTTCTTAATAGTGAGGAAATGAAAGTTCTTTTGAATCCTGAATACCTGGAGCACGATGCCTAGTAAGTTTCAATAATTTTATTTTCTTCATCATTTACTTGTATTAGAATTATTAGTATAATCATGCTTATCAAATGATTGTGTTTATTTTCAGTGCAATGTTCACCTATCTCATGAAAACAGCAGAGCACTGGTTTTCAACCTATGAACATGATAGTCAAAAGGTACTTGCTGATAAAACATTATTAATAAAATATCTTGTGTTTTTGTTTGGTTTTTTTATTTCTAAAATCCTGGTTATCAGTCAGAGGAGCTGTACAACTGCAAGGCCCTCCGCAGACTTGCCTGCAAGCTTATATCATCACCACCCATCCACCTCTTGACATGTTCAAATAGATACTTGAACGGGGCTGATTTTTTTGAGGTTTTATTTCTTGATCAGTGTTGCAACAAATGAAGCTGAACAATTTGAACAAGAAAAGCCATTCATTTTAATTGATTTTAAATTTTAATTCAATATTTGTTACCATACTACTCCTCACACTGGAACAGCAGAAAAAACACACATATTTTAGGCATCAGTGACAATGTTAGTAGATTGTGCTACTGTAACATCACATTGCACACAATTTTCTAACCCTGCTGGTGGCTTTTTTTCAGTTGCTAACTTCTCTGGCCCAAATTATAGGAATGTTGAGAAGCAGCAACCATTTCTCCGGCTTACTCTTCTTCCTTTTTTTTTTTTTTTTTTGGGGGGGGGGTGGTATTGTTCTCAAAAGGAAGAAGAAAACAAGTGACACCAAAAGGATGATTGCTGGAAGGAACAGAAGGATGACCCACTAGGAAATCTTGAGTTGGCTTTTGCAGACATGGTGGGGGACATCACTTCATGAATGTTATGTGATAAGTAGTGAATATAACACACCCATCCACCCTGTGTTCTCTGTCTTTGTGAATTTTGATGGCAGGAATTTCTGAAATAATGTTGTTGTTTTTAAGTACTTACAGCATTCTAGTCAAAATCATAAGTTAGCCCTCCTTGTCTCTGGAATGAAACACAGGTGTTAGAGGTGATAATAATATTTCAGGAATCAGTTACTGAATGATTAATAAGCTGTGACTGGAATCTCATATAACGCTATGTAACACATTTTTGTTCCTGGGTTATAAATGTCATTTCCTTATTCGTTCTATCATAAAAACATGGGGAAAGTTTATTAAACTGCAAAATTTTGCAGACCATCCTTCAACACTTTTGCTATAGTTTTTCAATTAATATCTCATTGAGTCTTAACCAGTTCAACTTAGGCCCCTTCCGCACAACTGAATAAAACCCCACATTTTCTGCTTTGAATTGGAATATTTGGCAGTATGGACTCAGATAACCCAGTTGAAAGCAGATAACGTGGGACTGCCTGCCTTGATATTCTGGGCTATATGGCAGTTTGGAAGGGTCCTTAGTTTGTGGCATCCACAAAAACAAAGTTTCTAGGATACAACAACTACTTTCAAAGTAAGTACTGCACAGTTAAACAGGAATAACACTTTCAAACTAGGAACAGATTTTTTTCACATTTGGTTACATAGTGTAATACTTTATCAAATTTTACATTTCACATTTTTTGTTGATTCTTTAGGAGAAAGATGCAATGTTGACTCCTATTCCATTTGCCAGACCACAAGATTTAGGACCATCCATTGCTATTGTAGCAAAAGTAAACCAGATTCAAGATCATTTGCTAAAGAAGCATGATATTGAGCTCTACATGCATTTGAACAGACTAGAAATTGCACCACAGATTTATGGACTGTAAGTATATTTGATATTTTATCTAGCATATTGGTATACCTAATGATAACAACAATGACCATATTATTATATAAATTTGATATTGTACTTTGCTATCTTGAATCCTGTTTTTTTTAAGAAAGGCAAAATATAACTCCATTAAATAAATACACATTAATATTCTCCTTCCACCACATAGGTGTCTAAATATAGAGTTTATGGTTCATTCCTTAGAAATACCTATGAATCGCACTTCAGACATTATAATACCAACAAAGAAAGCAGAATTTAAGTTATTCATGCTTCTGCTTTTGCGGGTTTTTTGTATAGGAACAAGTGACTTATTACTTCTGATAAATGATACCTAATCCTCGCTATTTTTTGTTACATAAGCAATAGAAGACCATAGAAGCTATAATTGTTCAACATGGCCTTAATACCGGCAGAGGAACCCCTTTTCTTGAAATTTGTTTTCCATCATGACTAATCTGCTAAAGAAGAGAAGGGTGGATGTGTCTAAAATCAACAGGAAGCACAGCCATCATTTCTTGTTCTCTTTCTGCCAACTCCTACACTGCCATGCTTCTACCCTTTTTCAGTTTTGTTCTCACTTTTACTCCTTTGAGTTCATCTCACCTACATGAAATTAGACCAAATGTTGTCTAGTCTGCTTTCATATGCAATTTAAAGATGAATTTAGAACAAGCAGTATGGAATGTGTACTACAGAAATTGGAGAGTTGAAAGTGCTTGATCTTAAACCTAGGAAATATTTTCTAGTATTGTTTTTCTGTTGTTCTTCCTTAGCCAAAAACCAAAATGAAATGAAACAATTGTTCATAGTGTATAGGGAAGAAATTCTAGCATCAGCCAGCTGTGTTCTTCTGAAGCATACAAATTCACCTTGCTCATTGCTTATCCCCCGGCAAAGGAGTACAGATGGCTGCATTAACTATTAGATAGTGTTCATATTCAAAATTTTGCAAATAAAGCACCCTAACAAATATAAATGAACATAGATTGCATCCCGTATGTGTGCTTAATGGCTACTAATGTTTATCTTGTTTAGTATAAAATAATGTATTTTTCCTACAAATATCAGGGTTTTATAGTGTTATTTAAAAGTAGAATGCTGTATTAAAATACTATTAGCACAGGATTTTTGGAGAATTAAAACATAGATGATAATCTGTGATATGCCCAGCCTTGGTAGTGTAGGATACAATGCTATATGGACAATACTGACATAAGAAACATGTACAGTACATTAAAAACACTCTAATGGATGCTGTCTGTGTATGGGCAAAAAGGTGAAGATTGAAATTACGTTGTGTCAGTGCTAGCTTTATAAAATAAATAGGTTTAATTGAGATCTGATACTTCACTATGGTCTCATATTATATGAACGAAGCTGGAACAAGCATTGAGTAGTGACCTGCTCAGTCCATCCTTTATTTGTTAATTAGTGCAGAATGTATTGATATCCCTCAGTTCAACTTAAGAGAACTTCATTTGAACCTCTAACATCTAACCTGTAGAACAATTTTACCAATAAAACTGTTCAGAGAGTTCCAAATGGATCCTATTAATATATCAGTTTCAATAATAATAATAATAATAATAATAATAATAATAATAATAATAATAATAATAATATTTCTATACTGCTCTATCTCCCTGGGGGGACTCAGGGCAGTTTCTAAACAACAACATCAAAACATACAGAGTCAGAACATGAACAAAAAATAACAATACGCTGCCTGGGTCTTCTCTGTGTCCAAAACTCTGGCTGAGGAAATGAAAAGGATATAGAATAGTATTATATTTTAATTATTTTCCCTTTAGTGCTGTCAAACATCTTTTTATAGATAACAATTTAGGTGTTGTTCCCTCCTTGATACTTTTAGCTTAGAAGGATACTTCTGTTTTGGTCTGGCATAAAGAAAAATACTTAAACTAACAAAGGTTTAAAGACAAAAATGGTATTATATAACATTTCATAACGTATGTTTAATGCAAATATAAGAAAAAGAGTAGATTCATAAACTAGGATATGGAAAATTGCCAATTATTAGTGCTAGTCTTATTAGTCTTTCTCCATTGAGGAGATTGATCCTATAATGGGGTGAGGTTGAATAGGAAGATTCAAAAGCAGAGGAACAACCTAATCTAAATTTCTCCTTATGCTTATGCTGCTGAGAGGAGAAGGACAAATTAGTAGTAAAGGGTCCCCTTCCCCTATCCCTCTTTTTGTGCTGTTCTTCTTGTTCTTTTTTAATAGTATCAGGTTGGGTATAATTGAGCAGGTGTACATTTCCCACTATGCAAAGCAGAATTGGGCACAATGTGTCTCACAGGCTGCATAGACTCCCCCACTAGCCAGGTTTATAGTCCTTCAAAGTCTTGTGGAAGACTCCCCTAGCTTCCACAGGTATCCACCCCAAATGGCAAGAGTACTGGAGAAGAAAAGGAAACCAACACTTGTTTTGTGATGCATCTATTTTAGCTATACCAGTTCTGACACTGGAGAATTGAGTGTACCTGAGCTTATAACACGGGAATGGGCAAAGTTTTTTGCCCTGAGGATGTATTGTGGGCCAGACTGGGTCAGGAAAGAGGGCCGGTCCAGAAGGGGCGGAGGTGGGGCCGAAAGGGACAGAGCTGGAAGGGTCAGGAGGGGCAAGGATTGGGGAGGGAGGGGAGGGTTATACTCAGGAGGATGAGGCAGGCAGTGTCTGAAAGGGTCCACAGCCTGCCTTCCTGGCTCGGGCCATTCTCTTTGGAGGAGGAAGCTTGCTCCCTCCTTCTACCAAGAGAAGGGCAAGGCAAGGAGGTACCAGTTGATAGAAGGAGACAGGCCTTTGCAAAGAGCTCTCTCTTAGCAATGCCCTGTCCTTCCCCCGGCTGTCCTTCCAGCCTGCAAGCTGCCGCTTTCCCAAGCAGAGAAGAGGAGGAGATGAGACATTGCTGGAGTACTCTCTGGCAGCAGCCTGCCTCCCACTCGGCACTCTTCTCTCTCTGGGGAGATGGCGGCTTGACACTTTCCCAGACGGAGGAAAGAAGGAGGAGGAGACAGGCCATTCCCAGTGTTCCCTCCGGCAGTGGCCTGCCTTCTCCTCAGCAGTCTTCTCCACCATGTACCCAGGCAGGGAGGAGGAGGAGACATGTGGCTGGGGAGAGCTTCGGAGAGTTCTTGCCAGCCACGTGTTTCTGCCTCGGTCCTCCTCTCAATCTGGGGATGGTGGGCCAACGCTTCTGCTTACTTGGAAAGAGGGCCGAGGTAGATGGGGGCCAGACATGACACTCTAAAGGGCCATGTCCAGCCCACAGGCCTGTTATAACATCTCCATAGATAGATCTCCTAATCTGCACTCAGAGCAGAAGAGCCAGTTTGTCCCAAGGCTCCTGAGACAATAACATACACATACACGCACATACGCGCGCGCACACACACACCATATATTATATTCAGTGCCTAATTATTTTGCTAGGTTAAAATTCCACATCCTTCCACTTTGATGAAGCACTATATGCCAGACCTAAAATGATCCTTTTCAGTTCTGTCATTGTGTATTTCATTAATGCAACCAAAATCTAAGGCTACTACTCAGGAATTGATTTTGATCAGTACTCCTGAAAACAGGATTACTACTTTCTGAGTCTTAGATTTGATAATAAGACAGAGAAATGGAGTTCTCTGCATTTTTGCAGTATATTTCTAACCATTTCCCTACATCAAATTTGTTTTGTATTCCTATTCTCATTTTCTTTATTTTATTTATGAGAACCAATAGTTTCCTTAACTCTTTCACTTTTTGAAGTAGGAAAGCCAGTACTATCACTATTTCCCTCATTGCATGCTTTCCACTTTAGTTGGTTACCCCACCCCATTGTCCTCTTCCATTGATTTCTTCCTTTCTACATTCACCTTACATCATCTTCCTCCCTCCCTCTTCACCAGATTATATGACTGCCTGCCTTTCTCATGGCTGATATTGCTGGCATGAATGTGTATGTGTGCTGTCTCTGGAGGACACTGCTGGCCACTCAAAATTGTTGGTGGGATTCTCCACAGAACCAGCCAAACTCTGGCTCTGACAGGCTTGTCGGTTTTTTCTAGTAGCAGAGAAAATATTCAAAACTGTCTCATCTACAATGTCTGACTTAGAGGCTGGTCTTTGTAGGTTGTCTAAATACATGGTACAAGGCTCTTTGGAAACAACAGGAGCCTTCATGATTAAGACCAGTAGTGCAGTTTGCCATTGCTGGCATACTGCCCCATTCTGCCCTAACCATTCTGCCCTAACTCTCAAGAAATATAAAACATCATGGCACAGAAGGAAAAAGAAAAAGGAGACAGGAGTTGTCAACAAAGGTTTGGTGCTACTGCCATTACAAAATTGTGTTCACTTGATGATTTTAGAGTCTTCTGTAGCCTTTTGGGATTTTTTAATCTCAGGAAGTGAGTAGCAGTCTCAGTTTTTTTCTGACATTATTGGCCTACTTCCAATGTTTGACTGGCCTTTAGCAATAGGACTTTTATTTCTCTTTCCTTTTTCCCTCAGCTGTCCATGCTACTCAAAAGGTGGCTGTGGGAAGTTCCCAGCCGTCTGCAGCTATTTGTGGAGTGCAAGGAAATTGGAGCAGAGGGGGGCAATGTCCCCTTCTCACTATTAAAATATATTGTTATTATTGATTAGCATGGCTGCACACCTAGTGCTTCAGAATAAAGCCAATTACTTATTATTTGCCCTCAGTTTGCTTTTTTCTTAGTGTACAATTAAATTTAATATCTAGCTTTGCTGATATAGAAATTGTTGTGTTATGTGGCACCTCTGTTTCAAACTGACATGGGAACTATACAAGGCAATGAATTATTTGTTGAGTATGTGACTGCTATAGTTAAGAATAAATGCAATTGAAGCTCTGTGTTTGTGTGTGTGATGGCGACTTATGATGACTTATGAATTTCATGGAGCTTTCTTAAGCAAGGATTACTCAGTTCTTTTCTCTCCAGTCCTC